AAAGAAGATTTTGAAAATGAAGACGAAGAGGAGCATGAAAAGGAGGAAGCGGATGAAGGAATGGGAATTTTATTAGATCGAATAAATGATGTTGATATGGACGATCTGGACGCTCGAGCGGATGATAAGAAAGCTTTGTTTCCAACTGTGAGTCTTAATGGAGTGGGAGAGTTGGTGCACGGAGTGTTTGATTTAAATTCGTTTTTGTTTGATTTGTCAAGTTTTGAACAGCAAATTCAACAAGAACGACAATGTGCGTTAGAAGTTGAACGTACGAAACGGAATAAAAATATTCCGATGAGTGTTGTTGAACAGGAACGATTTCAAGATGAAGTGATGATGGTGGAATTAGTGCGCGATTACTTTCTACATTACGGTTATGCGACTACATATGAGGCGTTTGAAGCGACTCTGATGCCAATGAAAAGTCAGCAAACTTCGACGGGCGTGAACGAAAGTGATAAAGTCTCGTCAAATACCACAAAACAAATGGAATTCATGGAGGATGAAAGCAAAAGGAACGACTTGAATGGAACACCTTCTCAGACGATCTCAAAGACACATCAAATGTTCGTGTCTTTGAATCTCCGAAACGAAGTGCGTGACTACATTCGCTCTTTTCGGACAGCACAAGCACTTGTCGTATTAGAACACAATATTCCAACCCTGCTGAAGCATTGGTCTGAGCACCAAACAAAATGTCTAAGACGACTCATGTTGTACTGTCGAATTCTCTGTATTATTGACATTTTGACTCTTCAAAGCGAAGCAAACACTAGTAATTCGTCGTCGAATGGTGCGTCATTGCTAGCAATTGAAGAAACAAAGCGCGATGGATGGAATCCAGATTTAGCGATTGAAGTTGCTCGTCAAGTTTTCGTATCAAATCTGGAGAATACAAGTGGAAAACGCAAAAGAGAGGCAAATGATTGCACGATGACAAATGACGAGAATCGAGATGATATTGAATTAGTCATGAGTCTGCTCTTGTACGACCAGCGCGAGAATGTACCCAAAACAAGTCGTGCACGGCGATTCTTGACGTTTGAGTTTCGCGAATCTGTTGCAGAGCAACTCAACTGCTTATTATTAGGATACGATGATGCTCCACAGACGAGATCGCGGGTTTCTTGTCTGGAAACCTTTCTGGCCGATCTAGAAACCTTGCAGAAAGAATGTTAACACCACGGCTGTCGCGTGTACCCCGAGAGCGTAGAGGGTACGACAGATTGCAAGCGCAAAATTACGTGCCGACGAGCATCTATAGATTCAAACTCTGACGATTTCTCATCGTCTCAAAGTGAAGATGAAGATCAAGATGATGACGACAGGGATGAATAGTATTTTGTGATTATCAAGTTGATTGAGACTCAAAGTGCTGAAAGTATCATGCGAACATGTTTGAAAAGATGACTTATTTACTAAGAATCAATAGTAGATTTTATCTCGACGTACAAATTTACAAATCTGTTGGCAAATTTGTCAAGTCTTGTGAAATGATTTGAGGCTTAAACCATTACCACTCTAGTTGGCTAGGCACACTTGATGATTCTTTCAGCTACAAATTCCTTACAATTTCACATACCTATGACGACACTAACCATCACTTGTTTTATGCGTATGGTGTCGATTCTTGACGTTTGTTGTATTCGCTA